AGGGTTTTGATCCTGTCTTTGGTTCTGGTTTTAAACCAGTTATAAGAAGTGAAGAATGTTATCACTATCTATGGAAGTGCTACATAGTCCTGTATGGAATCCAGTGGCTCTTGCATTTATTCCCAGAATATTTCATTTCTTGCTTCTTCCCTGCTGTATATTTCAGGTTGCATCGTATTTGTTTGATTTTGGAGGATAGATTTCAGTAATAATGACAGTCATTTTCCTTAAAACAAACCAACCAACCGCTCTCTCCCTCTCCCCCCCCCGCCCTCCCTCATTTGAAGAGCATTACCCTACCCTGTATTCCAGAATAGGAAAAGTTGAATGAACTCGGGAAAGGCATTGGTGAGGTAGTAAGAATTGATCTTTAAATAACAGTATATTGTCGACTGTCACTTGAATTGTTGGAGGCAGATGTGGAATTTTCACTTGCAGCTGCTGAGAAAGCAGTGCTGGAGGGAGGGAGGAGCAGGAGAAAACAGCCTTGGGCCCCAGCAAAAAGGTCCTATCTAGGGAGAGGAAGGGAAGGGGAACAGAAGAAGTAGAAGGAAAGCTGTGTAATTGGAACCTAGACTTGTGAAAAAGAGCAGTTGGGGTTGGAATGCACATCCAAACCCAGCCCAGGGCCTGTTAGTTTGCCAGGCATGGGAGGCAGAAAATGGAGTACCACTTCCTATGGTTTGAATCCCGTTTCAGAGGGGGTACGGAAAGCAGCATCCACAATAACACACTCCAGTTCTTTAATCATAATAAACTTGCAGTTCTGATATTTAGTGTGAGGGGGTAGGAAAGCCTCTTTCCCCTCCATAGCTAGAGGAGTCGGAGGGCGGGGAAAGGCCTAAGCCGTCCAGTTTGAACCAGAAGGCAAAGTGATGGTGGCTGAAAAGAAAATCAGGCAGCTGATGCCGTAACATGAGCCTTCTTGGCTTCCTTTCTCCTAGGATTTTTTTTAAATGCATCTCTGTGCATTGTGGCATGTTTGCCATTTTTGTGTGTGAAGAAACAGTGTAGGGCCTGTTTAGATTTTGTGTGCCCTCCCCCACCCACCAATACTGGATTAATCAAAAGCTAGGAGAGACTGAGACCTGCAAAGGCACCATTTGTTGGCATGACCATATCCCACATTACATAACTGGTAGCACAAGAGTAACAGCTTATTGACGTAAGTATAATAATAAAAAGAGATTCTTTTCTGGGTGGGTAAGGTAAGATCGGAATCTGAAAAGCAACCCATTGCACATCCATGCCAGGTGGAGGCACAGACCCCTGGAGGATCCCAGCAGTAAACGAGCCTGAGTGAATGGTAGCCTTGCTTGTTGTCTCCTTTGCCAGTTTGAGAAGTTGGAGTTTTTGAATTGAACAAGTTTTCAAATATAGCAGATATGCTTGAAAGTGCCCCCTGAGCGCTTCTGTTTTTGGGCATGAAAGTAACTGGAGGTGGGAGGTGTTTTTTTTTTTTTTTAAGGAAATCTAGAGCATTAACTTTCAGTGACATGCTATGCTATTTCCTCAAAGAGATTGTTAGTGAAAATCTAATCATGCTGTAGGTGAGACAATTCATTCTATGCATGGGGTTTTTGCTGCCTTAGAAAGTTGCTCTTAAAGCAGCAAAAGGCAAACCCCCCAAAGTGAACTGGGGCATGGCGATTTTGGAAAGGAGATAGAGATTATACATTCCAACCCCTCAGGGGTTTTTGTTGTTGTTGTTGTTAAAATCCACAGAACTCCAAAGGGGCAGGGGGGCTGACAATTTTGGGCTGGAGATAGAGATTATACATTCCAAACCCTTCAATTTTTTTTGTTAAATTCCTCAACCAGCCAGGGCTTTAACAGTGAAAGGGGAGAGGGAGGGAAAATAAACTGGAGGAAAGAAAAAGGGAGGATTTGGAAGCAAAAGGCCCCTTCAGGGGTCCCTATTTGTGCAAGGGAAACCATTTGTGTGGGTGTGGGTGTGGGTGGACTCCAGGGCTTGTCTCCAGTTGGGCAGTGGAGAGGGAGGGGATATTTTATGGAATGTGGGGAATCAGGTCGCGTGTGGGGGGAGGGCTTTGAAAGAGCTTCTAGCCTTTTGTTGCATAAACTTGTTAAAAGAACCCCTCCTCTGTGAAGGCAGCTACATCGGGTATTAGTGTGCCAGAGGAGGCCAGACCTGCACCCTGACTACACAACCAATTGGAATGAAAAATAAAATCAGGTTTAAGTTTTCAGTGGGATTTTTTTTTTCCAGGGGGACTTTTTGAGTCATTGCATTGAGTATCAGACTTAAGTTAAGGTCGCTCATTCTCTGACTTTTTCTTGGGTGGTTTAGAGGAGGGACTTAGTCTGCCCACTTTTCCCACAAAAACAGCTCCTGTTGTGGGGGCAGTGCAGGGGGAGCAAATGCATTTTACTAGCTGCTCAGATTGCTGAGAAGTGAAGCCTGCATGAGGACCCCTTGTGCTGGTGGTGGTGGCCGGAGTGGGACGTGCATGCACCCTCTCATTTGTGAGCAAGGTAGTGGAATTTTGCAATGGCCTGTGCACCCCCCACAAGTTTCATCAAGCAGCAGAGCACTTTTAAGGCATTTTGTTTGCTCTGCTAGATTTGCTAGCTCAGCACTTTGAAGGTGATAGGACTTAGCCCTATTTTCCTCCTGCATTTAGTACCATGGTGCTACTTTTTTCCCATCAGACAGCAATGCGCTGGTAAATACCATGCAGAAAAGCCATATTGTGGGGTTACAAAGTCTAGGCTGTTTAAGGAACTCTGTCATTCCATTTAATGGACCTCACTGACGCAGATCTGGCTTCTGCCAGGCAAGGAAACGTTACTGCTGAGAAAAGGGTTATTGAAACCCACAAACTAAATATTTTAGGCAAGAATCAAATAGCAGGGCATTCTGGAGTGTAATACCCTTCTCCCCTCCCCTGATTTCAGGAGAAGGGGAATGTACTGATAAATGGCAATTCCTCCAAGCTCAGTTGAAGTCCACTGGGGAAGCCAGTGATTTCAGAGAGGATTTACAGATCCTTACTTTCTGGAGTCTCTTGCACACCTTAGACAGGTTGACTCTTGTATGGAAGTCAGAATCACCTTTTTATCTGGAAGGATTTGTACTGACTTGCTTGATAGGCTTAAGGAGTCATGGATGGAATGCTAAGAATTTTGTTGAAAAAAAGGAAAAAATTAAAAAGGCACCACTTTCCTGTTTTAAAACTGATTTTTTTAATGGAAAAAACTCTAAATCAAGTCTTGGCATCCAGCTGTTTCCACAGCTTTTGGCTTGACCTTTGGTAATAATGTCAATTCCTTTTCAGAAAACATACTGTACAATTTTATATTTATATTGCAAGATGGCTTTTTGAAACCATTTAGCTCTCTCATTCATCTATTGAAATAGCTATAAACAGGTAACCATGAAGAAGCTGGTGGTTTGTTACCTGGCTATTGTGAGGTAGTAACTGGTTTGAAAAACAAAAAGCTGCTTCCAGAATGGCCCCTTAACCACAAAGAATGAAAAGAGGAAGACAGAAAACTCAGTAAAGGAAAGGGGGAGGAGGACAGTGAAATAGCTTCATAAACTAAACCAGAACATCCAAGGTATGATCTAATAAGTAAGCAGGAGGCCTCTGAGCTCTGGAAAGCTAGTTCACTACTTTATTTAGCCCTCAGCTCCATAATAGCGTCAGTTTAGTCTATTGTGCCTGTTAATATCAGGAATGGGTGTCTAAGTTAAAAATATTGCGGTGATTCCACCATGGCTGTGCACGTTAACATTCCAGCACATTTCCTTTATCGAGCAACATTTAAAGCGTTATTTCCATACTAGTCCTGGTGACATTTCCATTTAGTTTCTATAAATGTGAATAAAGGTGAAAGTTCTCTAAACACATCTAGAGACACTCAGCCTTGTGGTGTATAAATAGAATACATTTCATAATCTCATGTTTGAACACTTATTTTAAAATAAACCCCATATGCAAAGGGGAAGGGATCAACACAGGGTTTGCATATTGTTTGCAAATGGTGGATGTGAATATTATTTAATGTTGATTCAACCTTTTTTTTCTTTTCTGTAAATCGGGGTGTGTGTGTGTGTGTGTGTGTGTGGGAGAGAAGGGGTCCTATGTAAACACACCATCCCAGTGACCCTTGAGTTTACTTGGCATATAGAACATAAGGAAATTCTTGAGCCACATGTAGGCTTTAAGTGCAGAGCCAGCAGCATAAACATGAATATTATTTAATGTTGATTCAACCTTTTTTTTCTTTTCTGTAAATCGGGGTGTGTGTGTGTGTGTGTGTGTGTGGGAGAGAAGGGGTCCTATGTAAACACACCATCCCAGTGACCCTTGAGTTTACTTGGCATATAGAACATAAGGAAATTCTTGAGCCACATGTAGGCTTTAAGTGCAGAGCCAGCAGCATAAACATAAATTGATATGAATGTGCAATTTCCTAGACTTTTAGCTATGATTTTAAATTCATAATTGTGTCCCTGACATTCTCCTACCAGCTGCAAGTTTTATAATAATATCACAGAGCAAAGATGTATAGAGATTAACAGTGATTTCTTTTTCTCCTCTAGATTGCTGTGGCATAGTAATGTCACCTGAAGTGTGTTAACTGTAACTTTAAGCTATAAACTCACCAGTGGGAACAGTTGTTTGGGCCATTAGTGAGGTTACAAGGATGTGGGTTGTTATAGTTCTGTTTGAAATAACATCCAGACTGAAGGAGGAGAAAAATTAGTAAAAGTGGATGAGACACAGAAATTATTGGACTGAAATAGATGGAAAAGGGAATGCTGAACATAGGTGTATCTTTTAAAATGTCATTAGTCTAACTAAATATCTGGCTCTCCGAGATTGGTGAAAAGCACGATTAACGGAAAATAATTTGCCAAGATAAGAAAAAAGCTCAACTTTGCTAAAACAGTTCTGGTCAGTTTACAACAACTTTCTGAGAACATGACCTTCCAATTACTGCAAAGAAAGGTTAATACAAGAAAAGATTCCTATCTGCCTCCAAAAAATACCTGAAAAATGGGGTGGATGGGAAGTGAGGGGCAAATTGGATGTGTTTTTTTTATCAGTCTATTTTAAAAACAATTAATGCATCATTGCTCTGATCCCGCTTCTGGACAGTGTTCTTGTGTTTTAGTTTCTTTTGGCCAGTGAACTATCATCAAAGGGGACAGAGAGCTGTCTCACACCAGAGTGCCAAACTCCAGGAATCTCTAATGACCAAGACCAGATCAATGTGGAATGCATAAATTAGCCAAGAATCCATGAATTAGAGGATTGTCTCTCCATTCCATTCTTTCACCTACTGGCAAGTAGACTGAGGAAAGAGAAGCTTAAAGTGTCAAATTTGTGAATTGGGTTGGGATGGCCTGGGAATAAAGTGTCCTTCCTTTTCACCCTAGATTCTCAAGTGTTACTAGATAATGGGTATAATGGGGCAGGTTTATATAATAACTCAACTAGAGCAAAGCAGGTTGACTTAGTGAAGCAGCTCTGAATTTGGAGAAGATGTGGAGGTGTCCTGCCTCTTCTGTGAGACTTATATATGTGGTCACCAATGTGTTGAGAACACCAGTGTGTAGAACAGGCACCTCTGTCTACAGAACTTTCCTGCCTTTAATTATGGCACAAAATGAACCTTCTCAGGGAAACAGCTCAGATATTACTTTGTAATTGTGTATGTTATTTTAGGGACTGAGCCACGGAGTCATCTATACAGACCTTGTTTCGCTTTCTAATCTCTGTGTTTAATGCTCTTTTTTCCAACACAGGATTCAGAGAGATATTTTAAACCTCTGGTCCATGTAAGCAGTAAAACCCTAGAAAGGGAATCCTACAAGTTCGGAAGCACGTTACATAGGTTCAAAATATAACTATCTAGTAATAAAATAAATAGTAAACCTTCCCATCTTCTACCTTGGGCAACTACGTGATCTGGTATTTTAGACAAAAGAGAGGAAACAATCTGGATTTAGAAAGATTATGTCACCTTTCCAAGAATGAGTATAGAAATCTGGGTAAAATACATGCTGGAATTAAATATTTGTTATTGGTGGTGGGAAAGGGGGGGGAGGAGCAATGAGAGTCTATTTTCCAAAACACTCATACACTTAAACGTTTCTCTCACTTGCTAACCTTTCTGATTCCCCTTTCAAAGGGGGTGAATAATTCTTTATAGGGATGCTCTATTTTCTAGGGATGATTTATTTTCTAACTTTTACCTCTTCCATATTTGCAGACCTGTAATGGAAGATCCAGCCACCTGCTGCAGGAAGCACAATCCAGCTTCCTACCCTTAAGGAAGAGACCCTATCAATATTGCCTCTGCTTTTGTGATCAGGGTAGTAGTGCAATATTGCTTATAGGGTCTTTTCTTTGGAGGATATTCTTCACAGGAAAGAGGAAAGCAGCGTGCTGGTCAAGTTAAGACAAAAGTTTATGTACATTTTGAACATTATTAGTTAGGCAATTGATTGTGGAGAGAAGCCATTGTGAATCTAAATGTTCCCGCAACAAATAATTTTGTATAGATGCTAATGAGATGTGAGTAATTGGTATGTTTTTGATATTATTAGGCGAGGTACTAAAACAGCCTGGTATTACAAGCACGAACAGTTGTACTTGTTTGAAACTGGAGTAACCCAACATGCTTATATTTTAAAATAGTATGGGACAGGAGAGGTATGAAGGGGACAGATTTTTACATAAAGCTGTCAAGGGACGGGAGGAGATACTTTAGTCTCATGTGCTGTTTGTATTCCTGCACTTTGCCTGAAAACCACCAGAGTTCTGTGAAGCAGGATTTTATATAGCAGCTGAAGCTAGAAACCCAATAGCCTCCCAAACAAATCTAACTTAGATGATTAGCAAATTAAGTTTTATCCAAGCACTTGGACACATAAGCAACAGTTTATGGAGCTTTGATTTATATTATGATACAATGTGTAAATAACTGATGGAGTGGTTCATATAGCTGGCCCACGCCCCTCTGTTTGATAGTTGTTTTAAGCACGAGCCCTCAGGACATGTGAAAAATGGCTCTGAACCATTATCTGATTAATAAAGGTTCTTTTTTGCAAGCTGTATGGTAAAATATGTGGGAAAGAGAGGTGTTAAATCTTATATTCCTCTTTGTAAATTATCAGCTGAAAGAGGAGGGGTTGACAGAAGCCTGAAATGACTGAGTGGGTGGCCTGTACCAGTATTTTCAGGTGGTCCCCTTGCTCTCTTGTAGGACCTTTGAGGCCCAGGAAAAGTGCATAGAGGGAGGGAACTTCAGACTGGATTACAAAGCAGAAGACCTTTGAGGCCCAGGAAAAGGGCATAGAGGGAGGGGACTTCAGACTGGATTACAAAACAGCAAAGCAGCCCTTGGCCAGAGAGATTTCTAATCAATTCCCTTCAGCAGGGCTAGAGCCGCCTTGGCAGCGCTGTGCCCCCCCCCCTTCTCCGCCTCTCCCCCCCATCCTGCTTTACAACTGCAGCTCATGGCTGAGCCTTCTCCGTAGCCTTGTAACCACAGCTCTGATACATTGACATGGAGCCCTGGTGAATGCAATCGACCTAGGGAAGCCAGGCTGGGTTTGAGAGTGGGGAGATTTTTAGGGATGAGTGAGAGAAATTGTAAAGAAGCCATTCTCATTTCATAGCTGATTCCATTTGCTGTCCTTGCTTTAACCCCTTCCTCCTTTTTTGGGGGGGGGGAGTTTGGGAGAGGGAGATGTGGAAAGCATTTTGTGTCATTACAAAAAACAAAGGAATTGCCCCCTTCTTGTTTCACCCTTCAACCACGACATGCACTGGGAACCACTAGGTAGGCTG